AAATATTTATAGAAGATGTGTATAACTAATAATGAGCTAAATTTAAATATATTTTTTAATTTAATGTGATTAATGACTCTTTCATTTATTAAATGGTAAATAAATATAAACAAATTTAATTTCCACCGTCTGCCCGTCTATTTCTGTCTTGATTAACTTCAAGCCTCAGGCCGGGTTGTGACATCTTGGACATCCCCTCCTCCTTCATGTAAGAAAAACATAGTGGATTGAAGATTGTTCTCTTTCCAAATTTGGCATGAAAAAGTTTGAATTTGATTATTTGTTTCTTGAAGTGTTATTTTCTTTCCATTTTTGTCATGGCTGATCCTTCAATGCCATGAACTCATATGATATATTTTATTTAGCTTATAGCCTTCCTTTTAAATTGTGGTTGTCTACCCTCCCTAAGACTTGACTTTCACTACATAAGTGGCATGTAAGACTTTTTCATTCATGAAAAGATAAAATTATCTGTGCTCATGTAAGTGTTTTGAAGTTTTGTTTAGTAATTTTCTTCTCCATGGATTATATTTGGTTATCTTCTCCACCGTTGAAGTGCTTTGGCTTAAATCTTTTCAGCCCTATGACTACTTGTAATTCTTTAGTGAGGTTGCAATACAATTATCGTTAACACCCCCATTATTTCTATTGCATCATATCATCTTCTCCCATTATAGCTCTCAATCTAAGCTTGGGTTTCCTTAGTGGCCGACAACATAACCTCCACTTAACCCTCATTGGTCACCTTACAACTCAACATAAACATCTCAACCAAAATAACAAAAAAATAATTAAAAATCAACCACTCTCAAGCCATCAAACTTAAAACCTAGAAGATTTGAATAGTACATCAAGACAATTAACGCAAGCTTCAAGTTCTGCAAAACACTTCTTATAGGCGAGGATGATAAGGACTTAATCGTTTTATGTTATTATTGTTGGCTTGATTAACGTTACAGGAGCTCCAAATTTTTTTCTAGTCAAACTTCAATAATTTTTTTCCCATCATAAAATCTCAATTATTTACAGCCAACCAAATGTAAGGTTTTGTAATAAAATAAAGATAATTTTGATATATACACTGACGGAAGATAAGTAAAAATAAATAAATCAATTATTTTCTCAAGCCCATCCACCTCCCACTATCCCAAAACCCTAAATTAAATCCAACATATAAAAACCTCCCCAAAACTTCCAACAAACTTTAAAACAAATCCGTTCTCTTAAATAAAATATTTATTCCGCCAATAGTCGCTTATACTCCTAATCCTTCATCCATTGAACCAACAAATATAATTATCCGGGACAACATACACCATCTGAACCTATTCTACCCATTGTAACACTCATTAAACCTAATCCAAAATAGCAAACGACTCCCCCTAGAAGTAAAAATTGTAATCAAGGCATCTATGTTAGTCCTACAATAGAGAAAAATCATAGAAAAATGTGTTCAAGCTATAAAAGCATATATGAGTTCAGGTTCATTCAACGCAAGGCATGCCTACTTACAAGAGTTGCTTGATTATTGTTCAAATAAGATACTTCCTATGAATTCTATAACAATTTAAAAGCTGCATAGAAGAGTTCTTGAAGTTTTGAAGGAGATTGTGCAGCACAAAAAAATCATAAATGTATGGTGATGAAGATCAAATACATAAGAACTGATCACATGACGCAATTACAAGAAGGCAGAGATTGAGCAATGTGAACATAATGAAGGGTAGGATCTACATTCCCTATTTGCATTGTCGGTCACCTCATGGCTGAAATTTTTGGATCTACATTCCCTATTTGCATTGTCGGTCACCTCTTTCAAAATTCGATAATTTGATGATCAAAATCAAGCAAGAAAAGCTCCAATCAAAATGCATTTGTGCATGACCAACTTCTCCATTTTTTGGATTCCATATAAACTTAATTAAAGTACACTCCAACTTCCATAAAAGCCTTGATGTTCCCTCCCTCTTCCTGACAAGAAACTAATGATGAAATAAAGATTACACACTATCAAAATCAATTATGGCTGAAATTTTCGAGATTATGTTTGATTATTAGCTTCATTATTTCAA